CACAACACACAAGTATAGACTAGATTGCCTAATTTGGAAATGAGCATTGCATATCCGTTTGTTTTGAAAAGCGCTTTGGAATTTGCTACTCGCAAGTAGGCTAAAATACGGATTTCAACGAGTTTTTCCAACTCAAACGATCCAACCTTCGCCCACAGGCATTAAAACAGTTTATCATATAAGCATCTAGCCACATGGTAAACATACTGTCATGGTAGCATTCACACGCATGCGACATGCTAAAGCATTAAAATACTCACATAGTACTCCGTGCCAAAACAGTAAACTAGTTAGCAAACATGCATGATCCAAGTCCATGTTAAGTGCCTAATGCATCGCATACAAAATGTTGCTAAAATAGGCTCGGCTAACCTAAACATGGCATGTGAAATGCGATCAATCGATGCACGTATTCAATTTGGAATTGAAGTACAAATGCAGTTAGCGTGGTGTACCGAGCCTGATGCATGCAATACAAATGCATGAATGCACACATGCATAGCATACGATATGCTAAATTAAACGTGCCCTAATACTAACCATCAAAGCAGGTAAGTAAAAGGGAAGAAAGAAGTGGGGATTGGAAGACATACACTCCACTCACACACACTTATTACAGATTTGCCCTCGCTCAGAGGGACCGAATAAATATTACAAATTAATTAACTACGCAAGCTAATTAAATATTACAAATTGCCTAATCAACTAAGCAAATTAACTTAAGCTAAGAAAACAGTAAATCGCCTCGGGAAATGCGCCGCCATGCATGAGCTGCCTCTGTTTTCCTTCCTTCACTCCTCTGGAGGCTGTCAAAACCTCAGGACTGCTTCTCTGGACGTTGAAGAGTGCCACCGGCTGAATGGAATTGCCACCGGCAGTGTGGTGTAGTCACCGGCACAAGATGAATCCATCGGCTTCTCGTTTACTGCCGGTCGGCAATATATAATGCCGGTCGGCAAGGAATGCCTGCAGAACCTGCAATTGGCAGCAACAGAGGGCAAGGCAAAACATGGCAGCACAATTCAAGGCATATATGCACCATGCATGTCCCTTATCATGTTTGTGACTCAAAGGGGCATATGTCTCGATTCTCGGACCACCAATCACGCATTGCCATGCATGATGGCCCAAGTAATCAAGCGTGCAACTTTCATGTCAAATGAAATGCAAACCATACAAACAAAGTCCCAATCCCTATCACCCAAATCAAGGGACAAGGAATGCATGTTGATGCAATGCAACCTAAGCATGTTATCTTTCATGCAACATGAACAATGCAATGTACTTATGCAAAGCATACAAGCGAACATGCAAGGTAAGCATGCAAACCAAATAGAGGATGGACTTAAACATGAATTAGGCAGCCCTAAATAGGCCTAAAACAGTGGCCAAAATGCCCAAAAATGGAGGCTAAACACACATGCGCACTTACACATGTTATGGTCCGAGCCTCAAGCATTAAGCAAGCAACATTCAAGCACACTCGAAAAGAGATTTCATGTACAGTTAGCATGCAACATGAGCTCTAAAATCATGCTATAAAATGATGCCCAATCATGTTAAACAAGATAAGCAAATGCATGCAAGCATGGTCCAAATACTTGAGGCAAGTCATGAAGCTTTGAAGCACATTTATCACAACAATCATGGCATGCATTAAACAACTAAAAATAGATTTTTAGCATGTTAAAACAAGGCTAAAAGCACAATGACATGACATCCTAGGGGCTTAATCATGATGGCATACATGAAGGCATGAATATGGGGCATGAGATGACAACCATACAAGGCATTAAAGGGACATCAAATGCGAGCATATAAGCACCTCATGAGGTCTGAAATAACGTGTCAAGTGGTTCCAAACCACCGAAACAAAGTAAGGATGGCATGCTAGAAGGCCCAAAGCTCAAGACATACAAGAGGGATTACATGGTAGCTATACAAAGCAAAGCATGAACGACTCAAATGACTTAAAACAGTCCCTTAGCACATCAAAACATGCACATAAGCTTCACAAAGCTTGGCCAAAACACAAAAGCATGGTAGTCTAAATGCTATGCATGTATTGAGGCAAATCATGGCATTACAAGATAGGTATGCTAAGCATGCACGGTGTACCAAAACCAATTTAAAATTATGTTATATTATGGAAATATAAGTATGAAAAACAGTCTATACATGCTCAACACACACTCAAACATAGGCTCCCTTTAGAGGCCAAAACATGCCCTTTTCAAGGACAACAAGGAGAGGGGGTGGCCCTCTCCTTCTTGGGACTTCAAGGCATCACCTTCACCACTGAAATCCCTCAAGGTTTCAGTGGTGAAGAGACCCCGACACCAAAATCCCAGAGTTCTCACAAAAGGGCACAAAATGAGGCCTTTCAAGGCCTAAGGGTGTTCAAACTTACCCAAACCACAAAACACTCTTAACAAACAACCAAGAGGGCTTAAAAAAAGAACTTTTTTGTATTATACACTAAGCTCAAAAACGATTTTAAGATAGGTAGAAAATCAATGCAAAAATAGGGAATATAAAGTCAAAATTGTTACCCTTGAAGACTTCTTCTACAATGGTGACCTTGTTACTTCCTTAGGCTCCAAACCAGTCAAGGACCTCAAGAACAAGCCCTTAGAACCTTAGTTTCAAGAGGAAGGTAAAACACTAGGTGCTTGTGTGCAATAGTATGGACTAAAACAC